TAAATGATATGACAAGAATAATATATCCCTTTCAGGACCTGAATGCTCCTTCTCTTGGTACAGCCTGTGCATTATATTTATTTGCTTTCTTTCTGCATGTTTTTGTTCATATATGGCTTACTTATATGTAGTTGAGAAGTGATGCTGTGCCTGCTATAAAAATCACAGCGGTAATCATAATATTTTCAAAGTTTTTTTGGCAGAAAGAAAAAAAAAACTATCTCCTTACAGCATTTGGCCATTTTGTTAACTGCAGTTTCAGCAATAAATCTGTAATTTGTCCTCCAAGGAAAAGCAAAAGGCTTAGCCTCATCCTTGAGCTGTCATGTTAAGGCATCGCATCATGCTCTAAACAGCACAATAACGAACAAAGACTGTTTGTTTCTTTGCTGTTCTGCATGTTATTATATAAAGGGCAGAAAGCTTGTTATGAGGGCCTCTGTGCAGGGTGGGTTTATATGTCCCAAAGATCATTGCAAATAACACTCTGGGCCATAAATCCCCAGGGTGAAAGTAACAAACACAGAAGCTAATGCAAAGACAGAGATAGTGATAGAGCATGGATGRATTTAGATTAAAATAGGGCAAAGAGGCAGGGAAAAGGAGTTGAACAGCTTGTTATGCAGGCTGTTTAGTGTATAGRGGTCATTCTTTTGCTGTTAATTAAAAATAACGAAATGTCCAAAGAAAAGAAAATTAACTATTTTGGACAGTTGTATACTACACCATGTGACCCTTCTCACTGTCTCCAGCCCTTACTCTCCCCAAAGGGCTCATTAATATCAGAGGAGTGGGGTCTGATCCACGCAGACACTCATATGAAAGCCGTCTGAAGGCATCACCGTGCACACACTCTCCCCAGTGTGAATGATTAGTACCCTGGCATGAACGGCAGGGACAGACTGTTAAACGTYGCCGCAAGGCAACTAGTTTGTGTGCACACTGCCACCCCAACCTCCTTCAGACAAGCACACATTTGGTTCGTTTATGTCCCCCAATACTCCTCCACCTTCACTCAGACCGCCTGCGACATACAGATGAACTGTGACACATGACAAACCTCATACGCCACTTGGAGGAAGTGCGTTGAGCGACCCAGAGTTTTAGGCCTCCCAATTATTCAAATGAGTGAAACAAGACTGACCCCGTGCGCTTAAGCAAGCCATTGGCGCAACCAACGRATTATCTAATGGAGACCAAAAATAGCTCGTGTCTCTTTGGGCAACACCTCTGCTTTTGGATGCTGATGGACAAAGAAGAAACTCATCTGAAAGTAAAAATGTATTCTTGGATGCCGATGGAAAAGTGGAGCCATGCCAGACTCTGGAAACTCCTTTTTCTGCAAATTTCCTGAGCTAACCATTATTATCAGTATGTCTTCCACTTTGGAGGTTGTCAAATGATTCAAATAAAACATCAAGCAATACATAAATATTAGCAAGTAGCTATTCCAGGCATTTTTGCCTTCTGGCCTGAGATTAAATTTAAAGAATGTCCTGGGTTCCAACACAATAACACAGCCCACACGTACATTCATCGTCCTGTTCCTTGTTCCTAATGAGCTTTATCGCATTGGTCCCGCTTGACTTGTCATGCTAACTGGCACACATATATCCATATGTTCCACATGAGCAGGCAGAGGGGACAGGCTGGGTGGCAGAGCCGCTTTCTCAGTTACATCCGAGAGTTTTACTGCAACAGCCAGGAGCAACAGCAAGTCATCCCAACTCTGCAGTGGATGTAGCCCGCAATTAGTCTTGAGAAGTGTTAACAGCATGAGCTTGTTTATGTTCAGTGAATCAAAAGTTGAATAATGTTCGAAAGGCTCACATTAGCTGTATGCGTTACGCCCATGTGAAACTGAACACATACAACATATTTTTTTGGAAAAATAAGTAGATTTGTGTTTTGGATGGGCCAGAATCTAAAAAGATGAATGATGAGACTTAAAAAAAATGAATGAATTCAATATTTTGGGATTTAAAAAATTATTTTAATTGTTAAAACAAAATACTTAATTATATTTAGAACTATGTTAATATATTCAAACTTTCTTATATTAAAAAGGCAGAAATCCAGATTCACATACTTTTCAGTACCATAAAACTAGCTTCTTAATTAGTTTTGAATGCAACTTTGTGTCAGTTTCAGAAACTCTGGAGTGTTTGTTCATCTAAGCTCTCAAAACAATCCATTTTACAAAATTATGTTTGTGTAATCAAACTAGCACATAGTTYTAGAACATTTACAAAAATAAAAATACATACACAWAATCAGAAAGCAAGGAATTTACTTTCTCATTTTAAATACTGTAGCCAAATGGCTTAAAACTACAAGTAAACATTAAAATTGTAAACAGTAAAGTTCAGTTATTASAGGAAATAACATTGTAAGAAGTATAGTGTGTACCAATAAATACTAGTGTTAAAAACAGATGTTCACAAATTACACTAAAACCAAATGGGTGCAAAAACAATGCCACGTATCACTTAATTTATAAAGCATTTAAAACTAAATTCAACACACACATAAACAGTAAGTTGAACAGCTGTAGAAAAAGTAAACAAAAGCCCCTTTCACAAAAAGGTTGCAAAGATGATTGCGCCAGACCGGTCCTGTTGCAGTTTGAGCTTTCACAAATAAAGCTGGCACTGCAGGACAGTAGGAGGCGTGAAATATAACTGCATTGATGTGAAAAACTACACATAAAAAAGGTGCTAAACACATGCTCATCTAAATCCCACTGTCGGCTGTTTGCGCAGTCCGTTTTGTCGTCACTACATCACATCCTTGAGATACTGAGATACTGAGATACTGTATTACTATAACATATACTGACCATGTAAGCTCTGCAACTACTTCKCTTGGTGGCTCAGAGGCGTAACAGCAGTGGGTTGACTTCATAAATCAAACGGGGAGGAGAAGAGGACATCTCAGTTAGAGCTTGAAGAGTTTTGTTTTCAAGTGTTTTGTGAAAGGGGCTATTGAAACATTGTGTGTTCAGAAGGAAAAACAGAATAAGATTGCTAAAGGAACGCCGTGTTCCTCTCAGAAAATAAAACAACTCAAATCATGATCAATGCTCCGGGTTCAGATTTCACATTACTATTGCTATCACAAACTCTTCTTGTATCTGACGAGTTTTATCTGAAACAAATCTCGGCAGCAGCACGGGATGCTGCCTCGAAGGCAGCTTGAAGGCACCAACTGATGAAAAGTTATGTTCAGTGGCTCTGGTTTCACTCCTGAATGTCAGAAACAAAACCATCAATATGAAAACTGAAAAAAAAAAAAAAAAACACTTCAGATCGTCATAAAACCGACTCAGATGTCCAGTTGTTTGGCATCAAAAGTGTCAGTTATCAAGTCTGTCTCACTGTTTTATTGAATGTTGGAGTGGTGCTAGCAACAGTGGGAGGAAGTTTAGRAGTCTGTGATTGTGTCTTTAAAGACAGTCCTCCTCACACACAGACTCAGAGCTCATCATGGTTCTTGGTGAGGTCCTCTCCATAGTTTGTGGCCTGACTTCCTACAAACATGTTCCAGTTCTCGAGGATCTCCTCTTTGGTCAACTTCTGATCCTGAAAAAGGTAAGAGGAAAGTGATTAAAAATCATTGGAATCCATTAAAAAAGTTAGAAAAATTACAATTAATGATGATTTTGTAAAAATGTGTTTTTTCAGACAATCTGTGGTGTCCATCATAAGCATTGTACAGTTCTTTACTTTTGTAACAAAAAATAAATAAAATTGGATAGAACTGGATCCTACCTTGTCCTGGTCAGACTCYTACACAAGATGTCTGGCCTCAGCCTGAGCGTGGTCATAATCCTGTGGCATGATCCAGTGTCGGATCTCGTCCTGGTCCATCTTCCCATCTTTGTTTAAGTCTCTGAAGTCAGAGAATTGTTCTCTTTCAGTCTTGACCCAGTCTGGTTCTGGTCCCCCGTCCTCGTGCGCAAACATGTCAGCTTCAACCAGACCAACAATTCCGTTAAAAAGTGGAAAACATTTCCTTTGACATATTTGTAATTGGTTTCTTCTTATTTCACAGATKAGTTAATCGCTCAGATGCTTTCAGCGCTGCTGACTGTTACTTGTTTACTTGAATTAAGTGATCTTTTTTTCTTAATTTGCAAAACTCACCAATGTACTCGTCCTCATCCACATGTCCGTCGCCGTTTTTGTCTATGTCCTCCAGTGTTTCCTGCATTCAAAACAAGTTAATGATGTGATTAAAAAGGAGACAAGAGGGTCAAGTGTAGTTGAATTTCCACRGCGAGTAGTTAAAGAGAAACATATTGCCCAAGGCTGTACAAGTGAATAAATGGGTGAGGGTCGACTTACAGCCAAACTGGCAGACTGACACAACAATTACAGTCTTAATGATGAGAGTTATAGCCTCCGAATTAAAACAAAAACAAAGTACATTTTTCACCAAACAACTGGAAAATGCTGAAAAGTTCGTAACTACCTCTTGGATTTAATGGTTTGTTCTTTGATTTCTAGTTTACCATTAGTAATGTCCAAAAAAAGCATTACATCTATGAATTAGATTTCATTTTCCACAATATTGCACATACAATCTGAAACTGAAACTATAGTCAAATCTCAGCAGGAAGAAATGTGAAGTTGAACGTTTAAACAGAGGGCTCAGTTATGTGAATGTGTGAGGGCGTATGGTCAGCACTTAGTGGGAATACTACACGTTCTTGCCTGAACCTGCCCAAAGATCCATTGGTTTTCTGTCCCGTTAGCCTACAATCATATACATAGGCCACAAGAAGGTTTTTTTGCTTATACTTCTCAAAATGACAACATGAACCATTATGAATTCATTTTTTTGAATCATGTGAGAAAGACCTAGATAATCTGGAGAAAAAACAAAACAAAACAAAAAAAAAAAACCCATTAAATCTGTATCAATTTTAGGGTTTCTATTGTGTAACTGCTGTGTTCACTTCAGCCACAATCAGTGAAAACACCCCTGACTGAGCAGTTCTTTGGCTACATTCAGCAAAGACAAAAATGAGATTAATAATTAACTCTGCCAAATGGGTGGTACAACTTTTATGAACACAGCAGTATAGTGCATCACTGCTAACATTCGCCACGCCAGTGTTCCACAAAACCAAATTTATATTTAAAGACAGAGTCCTAAATGGGCCCGTCTGCCTGTTTTCCCATTGGAKCTTCTCCAAAACTAAAAGAGAAACTCAACTGTTTCTGGAAATAGATAKAATTTCATTAGGGAGCTTTATATATGTAGAACAACTATTTACGAGAAATTAAACTGATATTTTTTGTATAACTGAACCAGACTAATAACAGCAAACAGACTAAAAGATTGACATTACTTTCTGAATGCATACTCTTTAAAACATGCAAAAAAAAGTCTTGCTTTATGTGATTACAGGTAGCTTACCAAAACAACAATATCCTTCATGTGTTCGAACTCCTCGGGGTGGAGGAAGGCCGTGAACTCTTCCCTGTCTGCTGCCAAGTCGTTGTTCAGATCAGCCGTTTTAAACCTCCTCTCATCTCGAGGAAGCATCTTCTTGAAGCTGAACTGGTCCGTGTCATCTTCAAATTCCTCTGGGTTAGCTGAGAGGATGGATTAAAACTAGGTTAGTACAAGAATACTTCAGAAGAATGAGAAGAATAATAGTAAAWAAAACAAAAACAAAGAATAGATGACACGTGGAGCCATACCAAGATAATATCCATACGTGGCCTGCTTGTACTCATCCCACGAGATCTTGTTGTCTTTGTTCAGATCATAATCAGTCCACACCTTTGCAACATTTTCATACACATAACGCTTCTGCACACGCTTTATCCAGGCTTTGAGCTCAGCTGTTGTGATGAAGCCATCTGTGTCGCTGTCTATCCGGTCTACAATTTTACTGCGACGAAAACAAGAAAGTGAAAGAATACGTGATTTGAGTTACATTCTTCTGCCAATAGAGAGACTTGTTGACAAATTCACAAACTCTCTCTAACAGGATGAAGTACGGAATAAACACGTGTACTTTTACAACAAGGATAAAGGCTTCAAGGATTACTCCAATGGGAGGAGCAAACCCAATTTAGTAGAAACTGCAGTGTGGCTGTTGTGTTGCCACGTTGAGATGTCTCAGAGGGGTCCTCCCACTTTCAACACAGCAGGAAGGAGTTATGTATGCCACAAAGTGCCAACATGTCACAAAATCAGATCACACTGAGTGGCAGTACAATTTGTGCAAAGCCAACCTGAGAAATTTTACAAAAATTTCATATAGACTCATATTCATATGCATACACATCTTTCTAAAGTAAATGATGTGCTCTTGTTATTAACATTTAATACGGCCAATTCTGGACAGTTGAAGTATAATTGAAGCAGTGGAAAAGAGTAATTTATAGGAAAAGCCAGGCTCTACGGTCGGAGTGCAGGCATCACTAAAGAGCAGCAGTGATTCTTACCTGAGTCTGTCTTTGCTCTCCTCCGGGGTGAGCTGGTCGAACGTTTTGGCCTCCTCTTTGCCCAGAAAGGCCTCATGGTCGTACTGGTAGCTCTTATTGTCTTCGTGAGCTTGCCTGCTCAGCTCTGGGTCATGATGAATGACTCGCTCCTTCCTTAAAGTTGGCTTCGCATTTGCCACAGAGGCGCACAGCAGCACAGCACACACGAAGCTGAAGCCAGCCATCAGTCTCTGGGCTGAGGCTGACTTCCCTTGAGCCAAGCAGTATCTCCTAAACAGGCCCGCGACAGACACTGCACAACAATGCTGCACTGCTAGCGAGAAGCTGTTAGCCTCCTTCTCTCCTTAGACCGCTACAATAACCTCTTTTTCCCCCTGTAAGATCCTGCTAATAACCCTTCGAAACGCACCTGCGTTCAGACACAGACACACTAAAACACCCCCAGTGCCCTAACTTACACACTGCCAGCGCCCTAACTTACACACTGCCAGCAACACATCATCCCGTTTCCTGAGGGAAGGACGCAACCAAGTCGGGAGTTTCGGCGGACACACGCACAGCCAATCAGAGAGTTCGTTTTAAGAGCGAGCCACCCTCGTCCAATTACAGAACTCCTACTATTGGTCCGCAAGTTCTTGGTAACATTAGAAGATTTCGGGCGCCACGTTGCAAGCTAACTTCCAAGGAGAGGAGGGTTTGAACATGAGTTACCTMTTACGACGTGTCCCTAAGTTTGTGTGGATGCACACATTATAAATACATTTTACAGAGTATTCAGTGCCCTGGGTTAGCGTTAGGATGCTTTGAAAGCTGGGACGCTTTTTCAGCCTTTTTTTTTTTTTTAGATATAATGGAGTGACTGGATGATAGAAGTAGAACTAAATTAATTGAAAGGGAAATTTTCTTTAAGACAGTAACCTTGTATCCACTACAACATGGTTTGAAAAGTCTATAACCATCAAACCTATATGAACCATTTATAACTGAGGAGTTTATATTTAGGACTGTTCTTCCTGTTTGTTCTGATCCAGCCCCGCCCACTCTCACCTGTTCCAATTTGTTTCCAAATCAGGTGTTTGTAATTATGTTAATTAGCTCTCTTTTTAATTATGTGGTTGTTCTGTTGGTCAACTGTTCTTTGTTTTCCATTATTTTGTCTTCTGCAGCTCCTTGTGTTTCTCCATATAATTTGTGAGTTTTGCTGCCACGTCAGCTAGTTTATTTTTTGTTTATTAAAGCATTTTAATGTAGGCCAATTCCCTCATGTGTGTCAACCCTGGGTCTGATTAATACTCAAACTCCTAACAGGTGAAGGCCCAGTCTAAATGTCAATTTACAAAATAATGGGCATCCCACACTTAATTATCTGCTCATTACAGTCTATTGTACTACAAGCAGAGTAATATTTTAAACAGTTACTAATTCAGTTTAAATCCATCATACCCACTTCAGCCAATGCGCCAAACTTCTTCCAGTAATTGCTATTGTTGTGCTGTATTACTAAAGTTTGTAACCATGTAATGTTGATATTATTAAAATAAGCCACTGCTCTAGTTTCAATACACCAATGAACAGTCTGTTAGTGTCTATATTTCAGCATTTTGAGCCATCAGGTAGGCCTAAGCCAGTTTGTTGTATATTTATAGTAAAGAAAAAGTTTTCTCCAAAACCGTGAAAAGTAAAATTTGCAATAGGAATATCAAAGTTATAAGAAATCAATTTTATTGACTCTTGAATGCACTTCACATATTCATTTCATGAGATTTTGAGAATATTTTATGATCAATGTGCAATCAGGTTATTTTTATAGTGTGATTAAGTTGTAAGAACAAGTTCTAAGGGGTTATCTAGTTACACACYTCACACTGGTACAACACAATCAAACACAAAATGTTTCAACATCTGAGATTTCAGGACTTTTCTTGATTAAGAACCGGGTCACCCGACAGGTGAGGTCATGTCCGCTTCCTTTGACGATACCGTTCCCAGGAGGCATCGCCCAGTTCTGAAGACACAGTTAAATACTCCTGTTTATTTATGGATCAGGGCCAACTGCCTGAGACCTGAAGTCCAGAGTATTGGCACAGAAAATGCTGTGGTAAACTTTGCATATGTAATTAAATATTCAAGTTTAACTGTGAATCGGTTTCCTGTGTGAACAGATTAATTTCTTTCAGCGTGGTGATAGCCAAAGTCCCAACTCTAGACACAATTTTTTAAAAAGACAGAATCTGGGAGGAAGTGTGTGATTGCATTTAGGCCACACAATGAAGATGAGAGGAATTGCATTACACTGCTGCATCTCAACATGCTGTAATATGGAGGAACACACTCTCTACAGTGGAAACAACTTGCTGACGCTGCCATGCCTGATCCTGTTTTGTGGGCAGGAGAAACATGTATTTTGCCATTCATCATTAGCATAATAAGCCAGCACATGGCACTTTGCTGTTTTGCATAAGTAGTACATCCCAGTTTATGATTATAAAGAGGCCTTTGGGCTAACTAGCCCCTTTAMTCAATTAATGAATAGTTCATGTATTTAAATTAGTCCTGCCTGGTCAATCTGAATCAGGGTTTTTGAGATGACATGTAGATTTTTTTTACAGTGAACTGCTTATTAAACAAACAATAAAAACTGTGTGTATTGTCCTAAAATGGAACACATAGTTAAAAAAAACAGAAGAAAAACAAAATTGTATTTTTTAAACAGTCAAATAATATAAATATTTTTTTATGTTATTCTCACAAATAAGTTGAGCCTTTTTGTTTTTCAGCATCAAACAACGGTGACAATGGTTGCACAGGGTTTACTCTCAAACATGGTAGCATGGCTAAACAACTGCGGGCATGAACATGTTATAAAGGGAGAGTCGATGGGAAAAGTGGCTTTCAACATGAATATTTCAGCGTGGGACGGGGAGTGGGGGAGGGCGGCTGCAGCTACAGGGGTGTTCAGTTAACCATGAGATTGCACACACTGCAGAGCATATTTGGTTAATGTAATTAAGAAAACCCTATGGTGGGAGACACAGGGCATTAGTGTCCAGGATATGCTGCTGATTTGTTGTGGCCCCTTGCTGTCTCTGCTATGTTAATGTAATTTGTACATATATAAAAAAAGTGTTTTTTATACTGAAAAAAACAACCTGTCAGTTTATCAATTATGTTCACTCATGGATAACTACCCATAACTAATGTCATGAAAGTCAATTATACAGTTAACAAAACTGGAATGTGTTAATTGTTTTTAAATTATTTAATTTAAAGGTATATCTATCTACCCTTCTATCTACCATGTGTCTATCTACCTACCTGTCTAGTTACCTTAGGCCCACCCATCTATCAATGATCAATCAATAGAACAATCAATGGTTTGTCATCTAAAATTCTACACCACCTTTGGAGTCAATCAATAAACAGTAATAACCAATAAAAAACTATCTATCTATCTATCTATCTATCTATCTATCTATCTATCTATCTATCTATCTATCTATCTATCTATCTATCTATCTATCTA